CGCACACCAAGCTTGGACAACAATGTCAGAAATGGAGAAGGGGAGAGTGCCTTTGTAAAGAGATCTGCAGTTGGTGGGCTGAGGAGATGTGCAGAAGCTTGATTGAACCGGATTGGATCTTTTCTCAGACGAAATGACAGTCGAGCACGATGTGTTTTGTTCGCTCGTGGAAGGTTGGGTTTTTGGCGATGTGAATCGCACTTTGATTGTCGCAGTACAAAGCTGCAGCAGAGGATGATCCAGCCTGGAAGTCTTGTAGAAGATACTGGAGCCATTGTATTTCACAGGCTGTGTAAGCCAGAGCTCGGTATTCTGCTTCACAAGATGACCTTGAAACAGTTCGCTGTTTTTTGGTCTTCCAAGAAATGAGGGATTCACCCAGATAGATGCAGACACCAGTGGTAGAGCGGAGAGTTTCCACACAAGCCGCCCAATCAGAGTCTGTAAAGGCTTTGATTTGAAAGGTGCCTGTTGATGGGAAGAAGAGACCAGTAGCTGGTGCTGATTTCAGATATCGCAAGATACGAAGAACAGCTTTGAAGTGGACAGTTGTGGGGGCAGACATGAACTGGCTGAGTTGCTGAGTGGCATAGCATATGTCTGGACGTGTTGTAGTCAAGTAGATGAGTTTGCCAACAAGTGTTCTGTACAACTCTGGATCTTCGAAGGCATTGTCTGAATCATTGGTGAGGTGTATTTTGTAGTCCATAGGAGTTGAAACAGACTTGGAATCTAGAACTTGTGCTTCTTCCAAGATTTCCAATGTATACTTCCTTTGAGATAGATGAATTCCTGTCTTGCTTCTGGACACTTCAATGCCTAAAAAATATTTTAAATTCCCGAGATCCTTGATACTGAATTCTTTGTGCAGCATGTCCTTGAGATGTTGAATCTCAGTAATGTCATTTCCTCCCAAAACAAGGTCATCCACATAGATTAGGATGCATGTGTAACTGGTTTCAGTTACTTTAAAGAATAGGGAATGGTCTGCTTTGCTCTGGACATAACCAATATGCTGTAACTTGTCTGTCAATTTGGAAAACCATTGTCTGGAAGCTTGCTTTAATCCATATAGTGTTTTTCTGAGCTTGCAGACTGGATTTTCAATGCCTGGTGGTGGGTTATAACCCGTGGGAAGGGTCATATAGACCTCTTCTTCGAGGTCTCCATGTAGAAATGCATTATTCACATCTAGTTGATGGATATGCCAGTTTCTCATTGCTGCAATAGCTAGGAATGTCCTGACTGTTGTCATTTTTACCACTGGGGAAAATGTATCCTGAAAATCAACACCTTCTTGTTGTGTGTTGCCTTTGGCAACAAGCCTGGCTTTGTGCCTTTCTAAAGAACCATCTGAAAGGAATTTATCCTTATAGATCCATTTGTTGCTGACTGGTTTCTTTCCTTTTGGTAAAGAGACCACATCCCAGGTATGGTTCTTCAATAGAGCTTTAATTTCAAGCTGCATTGCCTCATTCCAAATGTCAAGTTGGGAGGCTTCTTTGTATGACTGTGGTTCTCTATGACTGGAAATGTTGAGAAGGAATTGCTTGTGGGAAGGAGAAAGATTTTTATAGGAAATGAGAGAAGAAAGTGAGTACCTTGGATCTGTGATCTGTTGCTGACTTGAGTGATTGATGCTGCCAGGTCCTTTGGTCAGATAACAGTGATAGTTTTGGATGAGGTGAGAAGGCCTTTTGATTGTTCTATCAGAACGTCTTACTGGTTGATTTGGTGGGGGAGGGGGAGGAGGAGGAGAAGGAGAATAAGTAGGTGAGGAATGAGATGATGGTGAAGAAGCAGGAGAATTGAGTAGAGGAGAGGTGTTTGGTGAAGTGGGAAGAATGGGAGGAATTGGTGATACTGAAGGAGGAGATGGAGGATCCTCAGGATCAAGATGGGAATTTGGAGATGGAATGGGAAATAGGAGAGAATTCTCTGTGTCATTGTTTGCTGGTGAGGTTAGTTCTGGTGAGATGGAGTGAAAGGGGAAGTGATTTTCATAGAAAATGACATCCCTGGAAATGAAAACTTCATGGGAATTGAGGTCATAAAGTTTGTAACCCTTAATGCCAGATGGGTAGCCAATGAAAACTGCTTTTCTGGCTCTGGATTCAAACTTTTTTCTGTGGTTTGCAAGGGTGCTGGCATAACAAAGGCAGCCAAATACCTTCAAGTCTGTCAAATCTGGTGGTTTGTTTTGTAGGAGCTACAATGGTGTTTTGTTGGAAAGAACAAAGGAAGGGACTTTGTTTATGAGATAGACAGAATGTTTAACACAATCTCCCCAGAAGGAGTTTGGTAAGGATGATTGAAACTGGAGTGCCCTAGCAACAGCAAGAATATGTTGATGTTTTCTTTCAACCTTGCTGTTTTGCTGGGGTGTTTCAACACAAGACATTTCATGTATTATGCCTGTGTTATTGTAAAAATCATCCATTTGGAATTCTTTGCCCTGATCACTCCTAATGGTTTTGATTTTTGTTTGAAACTGTCTTTCCATTTGGTTGCAGAAGGAAATGAGTTTGGGTCTGGCTTCTGACTTAAGGTGTAACAGAATGATCCAAGTCATGCGAGAGTAATCATCAACTACAGTTAAGAAGTACTTGAAACCATCATAGGTTGGTACTGGATTTGGTCCCCAAATGTCTACATGTAGCAATTCAAAAGGAAAGTGGGTTACAAAATGACTGGTAGGGAATGGTAGTCTTTTCTGCTTGGCAAAATGACATACATCACATGGTTGATCCTTGTGAGTGGTAATGGAGGTACATAATTGATTGAGAAATGGAATTTTAGAATGGGAGGCATGTCCTAATCTAAAATGCCATAAGTCAAAGGTGGAGGTGGAAGCAGCAGAAACCAGCTTTGGGAAAAGAGAATCTTGAAGATAGTAAAGACCATTCCTGAGACTAGCAGAACCAATCACTCTCGTCTGCTTCAGATCCTGTATAAGACAAGTGTTTGAATGGAAGGTTAAGCATAAGGAGTTATGAGAGGTGAGTCTGCTAACTGAAATCAGGTTGAAAGTGAAATGGGGAACAAACAAGGCATCATAGAGAATCAAGTCTTCATTGCAAATTGCTGTGCCTGAATGTGTTGCTTGAATATGCTCTCCGGTAGGAAGAGTGATGAATATGTGGGATAAGGGTTTGGGATTGTGAAGATAATCCAAGGAGCAAACTATATGATCTGAAGCTCCTGTGTCAACTATCCATTTTGGTTGCATTAGAAGAGTATGCATTCAGAATGGGTAGTGAAAGAGATGGGGAAGGAATAATGCCTTTCTGAGTGACATAAGCAGCAGCTGAGAAAGAGGTAGGACTCTTTTGAGCATTCATCAAGTTCATCAGTTTGTCATAGTCTGAACGACTGAGTTTCACTTCATCATTGGAGGAAGAAGCAGTGGACAAGTTTGCAGAAGGTCTGGCTCTTGGAGGACCAGAAGATGGATTTCTAGGAACAAAATTAGGAGGGTATCCATGTTTCTGGAAACATTTGTCCTCAGAATGTCCCTTCCTAGTGATTGCAGATGATTGGTAGATTAGTGGTGGAAATTGATGGTTTGGACATTCCAGGAGGCCAACCATGTTTTTGAAAACAAATATCTTCAGTATGGCCCTCTCTTTTGCAGAAAGTGCAGTAAGGGGGTTTGTTGCTCTGAGAAAACCTTTTGTTTCCAGGTTGGAAACCTAGAACTGATGAATCATTCTGCAGAGAAGCAATCATCTTCCCAGATTGAGTGCCATAAATCTGTCTTTCATGCTGCAACATGCGTTGAAAGACTCTGTTGATGTTTGGTAGTTCATCACCAAATAAAACTTGGTCTCTGACCCCAGAAAATTTTTCATTCAAACCACGAAGAAACTTGATGACATAGCTAGTTTCTTGGTACTTTAGAACTTTTATCATAGCAGCACAATCCAGATGACTCGTTGGAGTACAAGAACAAGGTAAGAGGGGTTGGTAATTCTCTAGTTCATCTCTAAGAGTAATTACTCGACCATAATACTCTGTCACTGTTTGATTACCTTGCTGCAGAGTAGATAAAGCCTCTTCCAGCTCAGCTATGCGAATGAGATCTCCTAAACCATAGCGAGTTTGCAGACTTTGCCATGCTTCAGTAGCTGTCTTGCTGGAGAGAATGGTTTTTCTGATCTCAGAAGAAGTGGCCTGTTGAAGCCAACTAAGAACCATGACATTGTTTCTTGTCCAGGCTCCATGACGTGGATCTGTAGCTGCTGGTTCTGGTATTGTACCATTGATGAAGCCAGTTTTGTTTTTAGTTGCAAGAGCATTGCATGGCTCTGCTCCAGTCATTGTAATTTGTGGGGGGGTGAGGAGGTCTCCAACAAGGAGAGTCCCAGGTTGATCGGAACCATGAAGAAAGAAGGGGTCGGACAGAGGGTCATTTGGAATTTGTGGGTGGATGTTAACAGGCTGTGCATTTTGAGCTGCAGCCTGTTGAGGATCTGGTTGATTATCAACCATTGTTCAAAGGGAAGAAGGGTGGCGGCTAGGGTTTCATTGCAGGCTCTGATACCATAACAACAAAGTAGGAGAGAAAGAGAATGAAACCCTAAAAGCTTGTGGTTTCATTTCACCATTCTGCCTTTTATAGGCAGATCCAACAGATGAAGACAATCACCATTACAAACATTGTTTTGTAGCTTGGAAAGGAAACCAGCATACTTGCAGCGAAAGGTAAAAGACAACATAAAAGGAAATAAAAAAACGACAGCGTTCCAGAGCGGCCTGATGTCTCCAAAACGCAGCGAACAACCAACGTCTTCTGAACTGATCAAAACGTCGTCGGAGCAAAAGGTGACCGTTGCAATTGAAAAAGGGGGTTTTCAATCTGTTAATCGAACCCTAAACCAGAAGAAAGAATACTAAAGAAGGACAAGAGACAGTATTTCGCCAAAAAAATTTGCGTCATAAATAGTAAAGGAGCGTGTTTGTTAAGCATGTCCAACCGACATGAACACATCAATCACTACTCAAAACTGGTGCAGAGTCGCAATGGCGAGAAGTGGGAACTTCCGCTGGACAGCCATCCCAGGGGCCTCACTCATATCCAAATCCTCCGCTTTCGCTCCGCCGGGGAAGCTCCAATCAAACTTGTGCAGCACGGCAACCATCGCCAGCTCCAGCACCGCAGCTGCAAAAGTAATCCCAGGACACCCTCGCCTTCCAGCGCCAAACGGAATCAATTGGAAATCCAATCCTTTGTAATCGATCGAGCTCGACAGAAACCTCTCCGGCCTGAACTCCTCTGCATCCTCCCAAGCCGCGGGATCCCTCCCGATCGCCCACGCGTTGATCAACACCCCTGTCTTCGCCTTCACGTCGTAGCCCATCACCTTCGTATCGTTCGTTGCCGCCCTCGGAACCAGCAGCGGAATCGGCGGATGGAGCCGGAGAGATTCCTTGATCACCGCTTTCAAGTACGGCATTCGCTCTATGTCGTCCTCGTTTACGCTCGGCTTGTTCCCGGCCACGCTTCTGATCTCCTCTTGTAGCGTTCTGGTCACTCTTGGGTGCTTTAGCACCTCTGTCATAGCCCATTCCAGCGCCGTGAATGTGGTATCGCTTCCCGCACCGAACATGTCCTGCACAAAAAAAGTTCATAAGAAATTAGCGGGATAGTTTGGTGTCATTATGTATAAAATTTTAATTTTTGATCATAATGTATACGCGGAATATGCCCACCAGAATGATTGCTTTGATGCTGTCGCGATCCATCAATTCGTTCTCCTGCTGCGCGTCGAGCAGGACATCGACGAAATCCCTCTGCTCCAGCTCCTCTGTTTTCTCATTCCCCTGCCTCCTCCTGGCAGCAACATGCTCATCCACAATTTCGTCCAGAAACCGATCGAACTCTCCGAAAACCCTCTCCACCCGATCATTCAACCCGTTGAATCGATTAATCCAACCCATCCACGGCACGAAATCGGCCACATTGAAAATCCCCAGCAGAACCGCCATCTCCTTCAACATCTCCTTCAGCTTCCTGTACTTCCTCCCAAACGCAACTCTGGAAATCACATCCTCTGTCAGCCCAGCAAACAGCTCCCCTAAATCGGCAGGGGAGCCCGAGCGCGATCGCGCTTGGATTAGCCCGGCCATCAAATTCGCCTCCTCTTCCCTCACAGAACGAAAAGACTGGACCTTTTTGGTGCTCAGGAGCTGCATCACGCAGATGCTCCTCATCTGGCGCCAGTACTCGCCGTAGGGCGACAACGAGAGGTCTCTGTAGTTGTAGAATAGCCTCCTGGAGATTATGGAATCGGTCCGGTTGGCGAAGGTGAGGTCGTGGGTTTTCAGGATTTCCTTGGCGGATTCAGGGGAGGAGATCACCACCATGGGGGCGTGGCCGAGGTGGAGGAGCATGATCGGGCCGTGGCGCTGCGCCATGGATTGGAGGGAGCGGTGCGGGTGGGAGCCCAGTTGGTGGAGGTTGCCGAGGATGGGGAGCTTGAATGGAGATGGCGGGGTGTTGTTGGTTTTGGGTTTTCTGAAAACTATGAGCCATGTGGAGATTAGGAAGAGCGGTATCAGAAGGTAGAAGAAACCGGGAATTGGGACATCGAGCAGGTTCAACATTTCTTTTCCTGGTTTGCTATGGATGATTGATGATGAATTGGGTGTGGTGGTTTCTTCTTCCTCCGGCCATTGTTATAGTCTGAGGAGCCTGCAAGTTGATGACAAACCCTAATAAAGAATGGAAACTACAGTACAATGTGCAAGTTGAGGTGAAATTTTGGGCATTTTGTTTCCTATGGAGGAAGGAGGACTCACATTATTGTTCATTCAAAGATATTCTATCCTTCTCTGCTTTGTTGAACATTGTTTTTGTTGCTACTTTCCTTTAAAATACATTCCATGTTGATGTCAGGTTCTGGAGGACAGCGGCGGCTAATTAGTAGTTAGAGGCTCCAAGGCAGAAGTTTCTTGTTTCAGGGTTGGTAAGCTTCGGCACGGAGTGCAAGTACTTGGCCGACAGTTTTGACGAGGCCCAGCACAAAGTGCAACCGATAGGAATGGGTCGAGTTTTGTTTTGTTCATGTTCGACTTGTTTATAAACGAGTCGAGTCGAACACGAGTAAGCTCATTTATTAAATCTTGACAGATTGAAAGTTTGGCTCGAACTCAAATCTAAGATAATTTATAATATAAATATCCTAATATTTATATGTCATGTGTGATACAAGTGATTACCTAATGTTATGTCATGTATGAGACGTATTTGCTTACATATACTCAATGTATTAAACACCATATGAGGTGATATATACAATTTAATAATTATATGCATCATTAACAAACCAACTCATAGAATATAGATTGATTTTCTCATAAGTTGTAGTCGAGTTGGCTCTCTAGTCACAACGTTGGGACATCTCATAAGCTCAAAACGAGACAGTTCATGAGTTGTATTAAACGAGTCACCTAATCAAGCTAGTTCACGAGCCGAACAAGGTAGAACTTTTTTTAATCGAACGAGCTTTTATCGAGTTCGAGACCGAGCCGCTCACGAATAGTTTGGCTCATTAACAACCCTAGTGCAACATAATAGCAATGTCTGAGATGTTTGAGAAATGCTACCGTAGTGGCCAGTCGGAGTGAAAATATTGAATACCATATTCAAAATGATAGACGGTTTAAAAGGTAGGAAACTATTGAACAACTGCTAAATCATGATGTTAAAACATAATACTCTACAATTAATTTTTCCGGTATAATATCCGGTACGGTTTCACAAACCTTGCATAATAGTCATTGTTTAGTGATCTAGATGAAATGATTTTCAGAAGATGTGCAATATTGTATGAATAAAATATGTAACAACTATTCATTTTCATAAAAACGTGTTAAGGCCTAAATGTTTACTTGGAAATGAGTTCGTGTACCGATTACATTGGGTGGTGATCTACTTGAGAAATAGTTGGGCCTAGAGATGTGATGAAATGGGCCGGCAGTACAGTAAGCATTTCAGTGGGTTAATTGTATTGGATACCATTTAAGTTTTAATTTAGTTGTACGTTGACCACTTACCACTTAATTCTGTTTTATCGCAATTAAACTATTTAGAGCATTTCCAACAATGTAATTCTTCTTCACTTTCAAGTGTGGTCCCTACTGCCACCTAAGCAGCTCTAGTAATTACTTCACTCATCAATTTCATACTAGCTACATCAATGTCATTCCAATGCAATTGCACTTCTGGGTCCCACTTACATTTTACTACCACACAAATGGTTGGGAAAAGAAGAAAGAAAACAAAAACAAACAAAGGACCCACTTGCAATTGCATGTCAAATTTTCATGGTGTGCAAATTTTCATCCCTAGAAAGTGGTCTTGCATCAATGTCATCCACTTTTTCAATTGCACATGGCTGCCAGCCACCTTCATCTTGCAACTCCCTCCATTTGCATCATTGGAGATGCTCTTACATCCAACTTTTGTTATACCATTAATTTTTCCATCCCAAAACTTTTAATGGTAGGTATGAAATAATAATTTTACAGGCCAAGAGGGCAATCCACCTAAGGCTGAGACGCTGAGTTGTTGAACCATGTGCTTGACCCACTTTTATAAACTTCAAACTAAACAAATTAAACAAACAAAAACAAATGCACATGCTTTCATTCCACCCAATTTGTAAATTAGACGTGAAAACATGGAATCATACTCATTTGAAAGAATCCGAACTTGGAGAGTAGTAAAAAGGACGTGGTTCATTGAAGAAGAAACAGTCATTGCCAAATTCCCCTGTTTTGATAATGGAGAAACAGAGCATAAACATATATTGAATGGTGACACTGACACCGCATAAAGGGCATGATTGTTTGTTCTAATAAAAATCCTTGATAGGTGGAATCATCGCAACAAAACATTCAGGTATTGTTATTTCCACCGCGCGACGAATTGCATCGAAGAATCTCGGATGCTCTGCCGAAGATGGAGAACGACGAAGTGTTGTAGCGATAGACGTAGACGTGGGCATTAAAGGGGTTGGATTCGGCGGACTAGCGATCGAAAGAGCCGGAGTTAGGACCGTCAGCGATGTCTTATATGAGTTTGTATGATAAACCAAAAGAAACCGAAGGTGGCGGCTTCTCCCGTTAGGCATGAAGCGATTGCGGCAAGAGACCAACTAGAAATTGTGCATCGGAGCATAGCCACATCAGAATTGGGTTGACAGAGAGTAGAGTCGATAAAAAAGAAATCAACAAATGGAGATACGATTTCTTCTCCTCGTGCAACTGAGTTTTCTTCTTTAGTTTTTATTTAGACTTAAATCTATTGTGACTCAACCACTCAGGTTGCGTTGGATAGGTTGTGTGGGCTGGAAAATTATTATTTCATACCTATCGTTAAGTTTTGAGATGGAAAAACTAATGGTGCAACAAAAGTTGGATGTAAGTGGTTTAGTTGCAACAAAACAGAATTAAGTGATCAACATGCAACTAAATTAAAACTTAAGTGATATCCAGTGCAATTAACCCGTATTTCAGTTTCAGTTTTTCATTTTTAGAAATCTTGCAATAGAAATATGATAATCAAAGGTGTCAATTCGGGCGGGCTTAGAGTTGAGTTCAATCGGGTTACAGGTTAATTGAATTTTGAGTTTATCGGGTTGCGGCTCACTTGAGTTTGGGTTTATCAGATTGCGGGTCAGTCGGCTACAAATTCATCAAATTACGGGGTTGGATATTTAAGACAATTTCTTTTAGATAATTGAGTTATTGTAATTGTATAGCCTATCGCTTGCCATGTAATTAATTACACGATCTATAATATAAAATACCCTGTATTTGAGATAGTTCGAGTGACGCTATTGAGATAACACGACTCATGATATGTTTCCAAATATATTATATCAATTATTCATGCTCTATACGCTATATCAATTATTCATGATCTATAATTTAAAATAAAATGCGTTTGAGATCGTTCGAGTTATGTTTTAAAGAAGATGAGATAACTCATGGAAGGTTCTCAAATCTGATATAGTATACAATCAATTAGTCATGCCCTCCCCATAAAAATTCAAGGCTCGCATTTTAATGACTAAAATTTTCCCTTTTTTCTTTTCCAAAAAACTTGAAATTCTTTCTTTTCCCATAAATTAATAACACTCAAATTTGTGATAACACTTTTTTTTCATAATATATTTAATTCACTCTCTAAAACGACTTTTTCCAGAAATACCACTAAAAAGAAAGAAAAAAATACCACTCATTTCCAAAAATTTCCAAAAGTACCACCATTTCTCGAAAACCGCCTGGTGGGGGCCCGGTTTTCGATGTAAACCGCATGGACGGGGGCGGTTTTGGTGACCGCATGGGGTCAGGGCGGTTTGGTCCAAAATCGATGCCCCAACCAGCGATTTGGTAAAAAAAAAATCGACCAATCCTAACCTAGGTGGAAACTTCAAAAGAACATATATTTGTGCTCGCGTATCCGATCGTACTGAATTTTTATTTATTTCACATAACTTTTCAAGATCTTCCAAGCCGCAAACCACCGCTTTCGTCCCGAAAAAACATCGTTTGCTACCCCGGACGAGCTTTTTTCCGATTTCACCAAACTTTGGACGACCATAACTTTGTGCTCCGCACTCCGAGCGTCATGAATTATTTTTAAATTTCGCAGAACTTTTTAAGGACTACATCAAAAATCGCGCCCCACCAGGTGGTTTTCGAGAAATTGTGGTATTTTTAAACATTTTCGAAAATAAATATATTTTTTTGATTTTTTTTCTTTTTAGTGGTATTTCTAGAAAAAAGTCTTAAACATGGTTTCATAGTCCACCTATCTTTCTGGCCGAACAACTGTTACCTTATTATAATTCGTTTGTTACTACTGTTAATTAAAAAAGAGTTAATGAAAAATTATACCATCCCCCACGAGTTTGGACAAAATAGCTCACTCTACTAAATCTCCCTGAGTTGATCTCAATCGCCATCACTCGATATGACTTTTTACCTAATCCCTGTCCAAAACCGTCTTTTACATGCACGTTTGATGTGTTTTAACTTGTTAAACTTTGAACAAGTCCAGGGAAGAGAAGACAAATAAACTCCATCGCTAGCTACCCTGAAAATGCAAATTGCAGCCGGTCGCCGGAGTTAGGTTGCATTACGCCAAGCAGCACGACGACAAATTAAGAAACATTTGCAACCAACATTCCCGGCGAATCAGACCACGACCGATGATGCCAACATGTATAAATATTAGTATATTACCGATGGAATTGCGCGCCAGCTGATTGTTTGAAAAGGTCTCTTTTAGCTCTTTCCTCGGCGTTTTAGGTAGTGGTGGGAAGGTTGAGCGATTTTTGTGGGTTTAGAAGAGCATCTCCATTAATGCAATTGCAAAAGAAATTGCATTTGTGTTTTTTATTGTCTAATTGAAATTTTTTTTAATCCACATTACATTCATTTCATTCACCTACATCAATGCAATTAACTTGCAATTGCAAATGTAATTAAATATTATGTTAAAATTATAGAAAATTAAGTAAAAGAGAAAAGAAAATAATATAAAATAAAATAAATCCCCATTTTTGTAGGCTTTTTTGACTTGCATATGGAATTGCATTTCTTGCTAGCTTGCAAATATGCAATTGGTAGCCACATCAATGCAATTGATTTTGCTATTGCAAACACCTATACCATGTCATTTTGCAATTGAGAATGCAATACCAATGTGGATGCTCTAACATACATTTCAAATTTCAGTCCACTCGCATCCACCCAAACTTTAGTGGGTCACCTTTTTTAGATCCCATACCCACTCATATAAACCGTTCATAACATAATGGGTGGGTCTATCGTGGGTGTATTTGGGTGGATTGGTCGGTTCAACCACCCAATACTCACCCCTAGTTTTAGGATGTTGATTGTCACTTCATCCCAATTTGTGTTAAGAGTTTGTTGCATGGTTCACGTTGACTTTGATGAAGGTAGTAACAAATCAATCAAAATAGGGATTTTATGTATAATCGAAAATGGGGGTAAAATCAGAATCGTAAAATCGTGGGATTTTAAGGTCTATATAAAAATGAAGACGGAATAATATTAGTAAGGAAAATCATGAATAACACAAAAGCACATAACACTTACAATGATAATTTTTCAAGGTTAATGTTAAGAGATGGTGAATCGATGATGATTAATACATTGATGTGAATTGATTATAGTCGATGGTGGTTAGTGTGAGAGAACTAGATGATGTTGGTGGAAGAGAAGAAATATATGCGTAATTTTGCAAATTCTGGGGAAAATAAGTAAAATTGACTCAAAGATTTGAATCGTTAAATCGTAAGATTTTAAAGATTTTAAGAATTTAAATCGTTAATAGTGTAGGATTTTAAGGTCCATAGATTTTATAGTGAAATTAGAATCGGAATAGGTAAGTGAAATCATAAAAGCGTAGGATTTTAGGATTTAAATCGAGATTTTGACTACTCTGAGTAGTAGATCACGGATAAAATTATTGACAGGGACCACGATAAAATAATACATCTTGATTTGACTTCTTTGAACGACTTTAGAACACTACTCAAACCTCTTTGAAGTTTGAACAAAGTTCAAAAGAGGGTGTTTGACGGAATAGGTTACCTTGCCAACTCACATAAGATTAGGACTTTACTAATCACATTTTCAGCCGTTAGATGAAAAACTAATCCAATGATAGAAAATTAATGAAGGTTAAATTAGTAAAAATTCACATCTGCACCAAACCCTAATATATATTTGTTTACACATAAAAATAATTTTGTATCACATTGATTATTTACAAAGACATCTATTGTCTTTATAAGGCCAAATCAAATATAACAAGTAATGTTAATTAAATTGGGTCTCACAGTACTAGATTTTTAAGCCCAAATGACTAATTCTCCGAGAGGGCATGCCGCATGGAAATATACCAAGTCTAGATCTAGACGGCGTTGGTCGTGAGATCTAAACGACCTTAGTCGCGAGACTAGACCACGATGGTTGCGAGATCTAGACGGCCTTCGTTGTGAGATTAGACCACGTTGGTCGCGAGATCTAGACGACCTTCGCTGTGAGAGTAGACCACGTTGGATACGAGATCTAGACGTCCTTCATCGCGAGATTAGACCACTTTGCTCGCGAGATCTCGATGACCTTCGTCGTGAGATCTAGATCTAGACCACGTTGTTCATGAGATCTAGAAGGCTTTAGTTGCGAGATTCAGACAACGTCTGAGCTCTAAATGGACGCAAGAGGGCAAGCCAGGCGGGGAGATGGACGTGGGGGGGGGGGGGGACAAGTCGCGGGGGAGAGGGAAGGCACGAAATAAGACTAAAGTTCGGTAGACCACGTTGGTCGTGAGATCTAGATCTAGACAACCTTATTCGCTAGATCTAGACCACGTTGGTCGTTAGATTTAGAAGGTCTTCATCGCGAGATCTAGACAACCTTAATCGTGAGATCTGAGACTGCTGGTCATGGTAGAGAGAAGGAAAGCACCAAAACTTCAACTCCAACAAGAGAGAGACGCCTAGGCAGTTGAGGGAGCAACTGCCACTCATCTCACGTCTGAAGACACATTCGGACCAATTATTTTTGGAAGTTACCCAGCAGACGGTTCTCCAAGGTAGTTATCTCCGCATTCCTATAAATAAGAGAGATGGTTGATAGAGACCTAAGGTTCCCAAAATCAACACTTGACACAAATGTCAAGTTTTTCATTTTTCCTTTTTCTATCATGTAGCCATAGACGTACTTTTTTTAGTTCCGTGCTCTCACTGAACCTCCATAGGAGTAGAGTAATTTAACTTAGTGTTTTGCATCCATCAATCGAACACCTTCGTTCAAACTTTGTTTAATATTTCGTCCATTTTTACTTATGATAGTAATTACGCATATAGTAATATTTGAATCTATAATTCTTTATATATTTTTTTCGTTTTATTTCCGTTCTTATACTCAATAAGGTCTCGAAATGTTAGGCCCGACACGACCCACTTACAGACCGTGTCGTGCTCGTGCTCATGAAGTTTAGACCCAGCACGGCCCATGAATTATTCGTGCTCGTGCTGGGCTGGCCCATATATTTCGTGCCCGTGCCGTGTTCTAACCGTGTCGTGCCATTCTAGCCCATGGGCGGGACGGCCCGGTGCCCACGTACATTTATAATACGTTTGGTTAATAAATAGTATTCCAATAGGTTTGGATAAAATAAAAGAATCTGAAAAAGGTTTGGCTAATAAATAGACATTACCCTTAAATTTATAAAAATAAAATATTTAAATATTAATTTCTGACGTGTACGCTAATGTGGATGCTTACATGGAGCTCCGTTACGAAATAAGTAATGGTAACAGAATGAATGCGCAGACTTTTCAGTTACAATACGTTTGGATAATAAATAGAATTTCTAGATAAAATAAAAGAATTTTGAAAAGGTTTGGATAATAAATAAACATTACACTAAAAAGTTTAACAAACCTATGAATGATCAAAATTCAAATCATTAGATGCAGACCGATTCGTTGATAAGTTGGTAGACGGGTTGCATCTCTAGTCACAATGTTAAAACATCTTATGAGCTCTAAACGAACCAGCTCACGAGTTGAGCTCAACAAATCACCGAGTCGAGCTAGCTCACGAGCTTCCTGAACTGAACAAAACTTAGCTCAACCTCGACTTATTTGTAAACAAGCTGTGTTTCGAATAAGTTTTCCTCGAACTGAATCTCAACCCGCTCGTGAACAGTTCGACTCATTTGCAGCTCTGCCTACACTATACTAAACACACGTACGGCACCCGTATCTAACTAATTACTCCAATATATATATTCATTACCTGACTAAGTCTTCACAAGTTAACGAAGTTTCAGAATAAATGGTGGCAATCTTTGTTTCCGTGCGGTGCATGGTGCTGTCTTTTGTCTTCTTCTTGATTCTTTCGCAGCTCCATTACACCTCTCATTCTATAAAAGGTAACGTATACACAAACAACTCTTACACAGCAAAGCAAACGAACCATCATCACTTACTGAACTACTCAATATGTTGCAATTCATCATCTATGGCTTCCTTCTCCTCTGTTTCTCAATCCACCTGATAAAACTATCCCGTCCAACTCCCACCACCACCACCAACAACAAAAAGCGCATAACAAAACTACCCCCTTCCCCTCCCAAGCTCCCCGTCCTCGGAAACCTCCATCAGCTCGGTCTCTACGCTCACCGCTCACTCCAAACCCTCGCTCGCCGCCATGGCCCCCTGATGCACCTCCGATTCGGCACGGTACCCGTCGTCGTAGCCTCCTCGGCCGCGGCGGCCAGAGAGATCATGAAGACCCACGACCACAACTTCTCGGGCAGGGTGGAATCCGCAGTCGCCGCCAAGCTTCTCTACGATTACGAGGACATCTCCACCGCGCCGTACGGCGAGGGCTGGAGGCAGAGGAGGGGCGTCTGCGTCGTTCATTTGCTCAGCAATCGGAGGGTTCAGTCGTTTCGGAGAGTGAGGGAGGAAGAGACGGCGATCCTGATGAAGAGGATGAGAGACCAGCGGGTTGTGGATTTGAGCGAGAGCTTTGCGACTCTGACGAACGATGTCGTGTGCAGGGCGGCTCTGGGGAGGAAGTACAGCGAATTGGGGAGCAATGGGGGAAGGAAGTTCAACGAGCTGCTGTTGGAGTTTATGGAGCTTCTGGGAAGCTTCAATGTTGGCGATTTCATCCCGTGGTTGCGTTGGATTAATATCTTTACCGGTTTCAGTGTCAGGGTCGACACTATTGCCAAGGAATTCGATGACTTTCTTGAGGAAGTAGTTGACGAACATACCAGAAAGCTGGAAAACAGAGCAAGCAGAGAGACAGAGGAAGATCGAGAAGAAGAAGAAGAAGAAGATTTGGTGGATATTCTTCTGAACCTCCAAAGAGATAAATCGCTGGGATTCCCTCTTACTCGAAAGAATGTTAAAGGCATCATCTTGGTGAGAAACTCCCTCTCAATTATTTCATATAATAAACGTCTCTGTTTCCTCCGTTTCCCCTGTTTCCCCTGTTTTTGCTTGTAATCGGAATAATCACGAAATTTGAAATTGTTTTTTGCGGGCAGGACATGTTTGCTGCGGGGACGGATACAAGCTACACGGTTCTAGAATGGGCGATGACGGAGCTCCTCAGGCATCCAAAAACGATGGAACGATTACGAGACGAGGCGAGGCGAGTTGGGAAGGGGGAAGCAGAGATTAACGAAGACGACTTGGACGAAATGTTGTATCTCAAAGCAGTGATGAAAGAGACACTACGAATGTATCCACCAATCCCGCTCTTGGTTCCTCGAAAACCTTCACGGAGCGTGGAGATCGAAGGCTACCACGTTCCTGCCGGAACGATGACGATGGTGAACGCGTGGGCGATAGGGAGGGACCCGGGGATTTGGGAGCAACCAGAGGAGTTCAAGCCAGAGAGGTTTTTAAATGATGGTTGTAAGGTGGATTTTCGGGGGCAGGATTTCGAGCTGATTCCGTTCGGTGCTGGAAGGAGAGGTTGTCCTGGAATTTCGTTCGCCATGGCGACGAATGAATTGGTGCTGGCGAATATGGTGAATGGGTTTGATTGGAGTTTGCCGGAAGGGATGAGAGTGGAGGAACTAGACATGGGTGAATGTCCAGGACTCACTATTCATAAGAAGGTTAAATTGGTGGCAGTTTGTACACCGCGTCAACTCCATGCCTAAAAAAATGTTGTTATCATTGGTTACACTAGTTTTGTTTCGTACTTTTCTTTCTAGGAGTACAAGGTCTAAACACACTATATAGTTTGGAGTTACTCTTATGATACTAGTTTTGGTTCAACATATGTGGTACAACTGTTTTGGCCTTCATTGTCAAAATATTTAATCGTTGAATGTCGTGATAACTGGACTTCAGAAGTAGTTCACAAACCTTAATCAAAGTATTTTTTTTTTTATGAATTGGTTGTAATATTATATCATCAAAAAAATTGTACTTGGCAACACATCATGCCAACTAAGTGGCAACATACTACCGAAAAACTAGTTTTGGGGTCCCTAATCCAACGAATCATACGAGGCCCAACAAGGCCCAATACTAACACCATGAATGACAAGAATGTCGAGCTTGAAGAAGTAAATGTGAAGAACAAGCATGATGACTTGAACCACAAAACTCGAGATGAATGACATCTCGGACGAGGTTGATTGGAGACGACTGACTCTCTCTGAACAACCTGATGATGGAGACGATTGACTACGTCTCTTGAACTTGAACACACATGGTACATCGCGGTCGACCTGATTACCGAAGTAGTCGACCGACGTATGTTGACCTCTTATTCTCCCCCTCAAGTCGGAGCATGAACATCGTGAATGCCCGGCTTGAAAAGCGATGAATGGTTGATATGTGCCCAATAATGAACCGGAAGAGGGGACGACCATTTCTTGGATCGTGAATGCCAACTGGACGATGAAGGGACGATGACTTCTCTGATCGTACTACCTTTTGAGCGCCAGGGGACGACCATTTTATGAATCGTGAATGCCTCGACCGATACTTGACTAGCATTGCTTGCGGAAGTTCTCTATCACTCAAACAATGACAAGTGAAGGATCAACCAAGCTTTGGATTGAAAAAACTTCACTGCTTCAATGCTTAAGGAAGTGCTTGCCTACAAACAAAAACATAAATGGCCAACCCGGCCACTGACGTTGCAAAAACAACAATAAAGCCCAAAATTTGATTAGTGGCCCATTTAAGCTCTTCCCAAACAAACCTATTGAGCCCATTAGGGCCATTTCGGCAACCTTGTGCCTCTCCCGAATGCCCCACCTTCTCACCCGCAACACTCTTGTCTGGCAAAGCAAACGGCGGCGGTATGGAGCTGCAAACGATGGAGAGAGCAGAGGCCGACCAGGGACGTCGATGTCGTCGGGGCTGCTGTTGGCGACGATGAAACGGATCGGAGGCCGGATTGGACATCGACACTCCTGAAGTCAGGCAAGAAGACACGACAGCGGGATGGACTTCGCCGCCGGTACTTGGTTGGCGTGGGTGACCGGAATAGACATCAGTTCTCCGGGCGACTAGGAAGAAAGATGCGACGGCGGGAAGGACTTCGCCGTCGCTCTCTCGAAGGCGGAGATATGGGCAGGTCAATGAGGCTAGGACGGAGACATCGATGGCGTCGCTATGCTTATCATGGCCTGCTTCCCTTCCCGACGTGGTGATGAAGACAACAATTGCGCCGATGCTGATGGTGAAGGCGTTGGTGATGCTAGGATGATGTAGTCGGCGGACGACTTTAACTGGACGGTTTGGACTTCGTCTATTAGGATCTACATCTAGACCTGTTGGACATCACGCAACAGCTAGGGAGCCGGAGTGAACATCAGCTCTCTTAGAGACGGCTGATGACGGAGCGACCGCGAGGATGAGGCCGATGTCGATTATATTCAGAGGAATAACATCGCTGAAGCGAACTACCCAGCAGGATGAACTTCACTGGTGCACGGAAGACTAGCTGAATCTACAGCTCTGATACCATGTAGAGCCAAAGTGGGTTTTTTTTTATGAAGGTGAACATCAGAGTGACTGATAATTAATTAATTAATATATTAAAGTCTAGGTTGTGAGTTACTATTCATTAGTGGCTTTCACACTCATTCAAATACAAGTGGGGAAGTTTCAAGTCGTTCTTTTACCGTACTCTCAATTCTACAACATTTGTGTGTAGTTATTGTTCGCTAGGTTTTCATCTATGACTTTTTGCACAAGTCATCGTCTTAGTGTTTTTTTATTGTTCGCTAGGTTTTTTTCTATGGTTTTTTCACAAGTCATCGTCTTAGTGTTTAGTTATTGTTCGCTAGGTTTTTGTCTATGGTTTTTTCACAAATCGTCACATTTGTGCAATGTTATTGTTCGATAGGTTTTCATCTATGGCTTTTTGCACAAATCATCGCCTTTGCCCACCATTTTGCAGCTCATCTCAAAATACTGTCGACGAAATCCTAAGTTCCACCATCGTTTTCCAAGGATGCTACCACGAGTTTTGTATCGGGACCGAGTTTCATCCTCTATGATCACAATTAAACCAAAAAACATGGGCATCCTATTATCCTAACTTGAACACAAATCATCGCCTTTGCCCACAATTCTGCAGCCCATCTCGAAATACTGTCGGCAGAATCCTAAGTTGTTCCCCACCATTGTTTCCCAAGGCAGCTACCACGACTTTTGTATCGGGATCGAGTTTCATCCTCTTTAGTATTTTTTTTCTTTCTCTTTTTCCTTTTTGTTGAGCATGATCACAATTGAACCCAATGCTGCTACAGAAAATTCATATCATATCTACTCAATGTTGGCGAGTTTTGTATCGGGACCGAGTTTCGTTTGCTTTAGTTTTTTTTTTATTTCACTTTTTCCTTTTTGTTGGGGTCATGAGCGAGTTTTATCCGCTTTAGTATTTTTTTTATCCTTTTTCTTTTGGTTGAAATGACAATTGAGTCCAAACGCATGAGTATACAACCTAATTCGACCCGACCAAAGTGATTTGAAACCAATTTTACAGGTTTTCAACGAGAGCGAGTGTTATCTATTTTTGTAATTGGCGTATTGTGTCAGGTGTGAATTTGTCCAAAACTCGGTCCAACCAGGTCAAAACGAGTTGAACCTGGTGTTGACGAGTTTTGAGTCGGTACCGAGTTTTAGCTTTAGTGTTTTTCATTTTGCTTTTTCCTTTTGTTTGAGAAAGACAATTGAATCCAAATCCACGGGTATCCAACCTAATTTGAAAATATACATAGAAGTTGTTTCATTCGACAAAAGTTATAGCAGGATCAACTACTAGCCATACACATTGAAATATTGGCGTCATGAAAGAAGTTTAAACATAAATAATCTATTCGACGACCCTTGTACCTTATGCAAGTTCATCGACCATATGCTATTGTAAATAACAAACCTATGAAAAGAATGATTAAAAATAAATAAAATTACTTTCACTTTTGGGTCAACATTAAAACTATAACTTTTTAACATATTTATTTTTCGCGAGCGTGCTTTGGCTAGTTACTTGAACTTCCCTTCAAATGCAAGCATGCAAATCTTCAATAAGTCTTCCAAATCATGCAAATCGTTTTGAGCATTTCTCCCTCATTTACTGCTCAACACACCGCTCAACACAAGTCTGCCAGTTTTGGAGTGTTTTCCTTTGAAAGCAGTTATTGTTCAAGTAAGTTCATATGCTCACCTATCCAGTGGCCACAAGTACTCTATAGGGGTCGTTTGGATGTGGAAATTTTAAAATGTTGGAATTTGTCTCAATTCCCATGTTTTACAAAACCAAGGAATTGACTTGTGGAAATTGAAAAAAAAAAATTCACGTTTGGATAGAGTTTAGTTTTGTGAGAATTGATGGTGTGAAATTTGGAAAAAGAAGTAAGAAAACGTGGTAATGTCAAATTACTAGAGGGAGGTGTAGTATTCTCAATTACCATGAATGTGGTAATTGAAGCCAATTTCCATGGTCCAATTCCCATACCATTTTTGCTCTCCCAAACGTGGGTTTTTAACTCAATTACTGCATTATGTGGTAATTGGGACCAATTACTGCATTACATTTCCACATCCAAACGACCCCATAAGTGAAGACAGAGAATAATACACCTTTTAATAGGTATATATATATATAACAAATACAATCTCCAAATAGGTGTTTCGTAGGCTCCAAGCCTTGTCAACATAAAACACAATTAATATAGTGTTATGATAGTTGATATGATAATGACGTGATGTTGGTATGAGATTATATGTTTTACAAAATAAATTAATGATATTATATTACTGTCTTATTACAGTATAATAGTGATATGATGTTGGTATGAAGTCTTATGTTAGAGAGAATAATTTTATGATATCATATCATTTTCATATCATGATACTGTCATTATATCATAGTGATAATATCATTATATGATAGTATTATGATGTAAAGTCAGTCTTACCATAGTGGGAAGATTATGATATGACATATATGACAGTGATAATACTACAACCAACACGTGTTTTGAAAATTTATTATTTTTTATTTGCACAAAATATAACAAATAGATATCTTTGTCTAGATCTTAATTAATGCATCAATGTTGTGAAATATTTTTAAATTTTGAGTTAAAATGAATTAGATATGATCCAGTTAAGAAAATAGGGGATTAGAAAAAAGAATTCTCTCTCATCTGTATCTGTGAGAAAAAAATATAATAAAAAATGTTGAGGGTGTGGTTGTGCGGAATTACCAGTCCGCCCCTCCATGTTTTTTGTTAAAAATAATTTTGGACTATTAGATGTGATTAAAATAGATAGATTCAGATTAATTTGAGTTTTGTAGTGATTTTGTAAAAGAGCATTTTGTACGCTATCCTTTTCCTATTTTAATTTTAAACCACCTCTATATTTTCGATTTTCCTGTTCTCCTTTTTTGTTTTGTCAAAAATAATCAAAATAGTCTCCCCACGCCCAATTTTTGTGAAACCAAACATACTGTAACACATTAAGCGAATTCCACATCAACAAAGCAAGAAAGAGATCCATGGTTCATAAATAAAAAATCGACCTTAACTGACTAGACACGTTTTGAAAGTGAAATGGAGGACAACAATGATGAGTGACATTATAGGAAGTCACCTTGATATACAACCTAAATCACAATCCGTGAGAATCTTGGGGCCAAACCAAACAATATTTTGTAGGAAAAATGTATGTTCGTGATGTTACATTTCCTCAACACTTAGTAAATTTCATGCACCCCATTTGCAAAACTTATTAGAAAGTTTTCTGGATCGGTTATTTAACTTTCGAGGTCGCAGTTGTAAATGTCCTTTCACCCTTCGCAGTCATGTGGAGTAAGCTTTTGGCTTTAATAGTCACATGATATAGACTCCAAATTTTCATCTTGCAACTATTGACTTTAGCTATTTTGAAATTACATGGAAAACGAAAGTTACCTTATACATGGGATGTGATAAGGAGATAAATGTATTGTAAATCATCAATTATATCATTGAAATGTGACTGCCAAAATATTTTTTCTTTTAATTTGGTGACATATTGGTGATTTAGTTGATTGTTGTCGAGTGACCATTTACTGTTTAATCATTTGTCGGGGTAATTTAGTACCTAAAAATTTTCCTTATGGCATTTTAGTACCTAAACTTTTCACATTTTTACATATTGGTCCTTGGTTGATGATGTCATTTGGATTCATTGATAATCCACCAATCCACTTGATCTAATCCATGAATCCACCAATCCATTGGATCCAATGCATTTGATCCATGGATCCACCAATCCAAGAATCAATCCATTTGATGGAACCACGTCCACGTCCAGGCCCCAGCCCATGTAAAGGAGGACGTCTGCACGACAGCCCAAGCCCAGTAGTCGTTATGACGATTATTATTAATTAATTATTGTTAGTACGTTGATTATTATTAGTTCATATTATTTGTGCGCAAACACTATTTATGTGACGAAGTGGAATAGAGAAGGTATCAATTTTACCCTAAACAAACCCTAAAGGCTTCTTTCTGCGCCTAGCAGGAAAACAACCCTTGGAACGTGGGTTACGTTCCCATCACCATTTGCCACCTCTAAATAGGCCCCAATCTCCAAATTCTGCCTCCACTCCTACCTCACACCACCATTCTCCACGACCTACCTTCGGCCCGTGGCTGCAAGTTCAGCAGAGAAACAGGCGAGCCTAGCGCACAAGAATACAACTCTCGACGAGAACTCTATCAATGCGACAAGACAACTCAACTAGATTGGAACTCAGGCGCTCTAAATTAAACTCGGGAAAAAAAAAAACTTATGCTGATGTCAGAGGAGGAAATTATAACCGCAAAGAGAGCAATAAATTGAAATCACACCACACATTTCCTAAATTACAAATGAGAAAGTTGGTGATACAGGAAATCAAGAATTGTGGGGAAAGTAAAGGTAAAATTAGAAGGATTACTAGTTCCCTTCAAACAAAAACAAAAAAGGATGATGACTAGGAATATTAATGGGCCTGATCAAGTTTCTTAGCAACCACCTTATTCAAGGCCTCATCCCCGATCCTTCTACAACACAAAAAGCATCCCAGAGCCCCCACACTGATCCACAACATAAAAGGCCCAAATGGCACTACGATTCATATACTACAAGTTCAATTTCTTGAAACCTCTCAAAATTTGACGAACAAAGCTGGTCTATCGCTGAGTAAGCTAGCGAACAAAGATAACTAGAATTAGCACATCCTACTAGACTGAGCAGAAAAAGCAAGGAAGTTCTCTAAATAGAAGCAAGAAAACGCCCTTAGAGGACCGCTAAAGAAGATGAGGAAGCGCCTAAAAGGCAAAGAGCTTAACGCCGAATTTTGCTACCACAAATCTCCAGGGATTAATTTATGCGGAAAGAATGAGATCGAAATCTTATCGATAACCATAGACTCTGACAGAAGAATAAACTCATATATGTTGCAATCGTTTATAAGTACTTTCTCTTTGTCTTTTCAGTTATTTCACATTAAAATTCATTTCTTACACGATTTATTTTTCCTCTGATTGGTAAATTTGTCCACCCTTTCATCTTCCTTCCTATCTGATTCCTCTTCCCGCACTCTATCTTTTTCTCTTGGCTTTGGCTTCTCTTGAATAAATAAAAAAACTGATGCTATTTATAGCAGAAATTCCTCCATCAAAGGCCTTTAATACATCTTGTCAAAAAAAAAAAAAAAGGCCTTTAATACATCCAGAGTAGATGGTTGCTTGCCAGCCTTCCATTTTCTTTTAAATTCTTCAATATAATGATGTAAGCTACCAGAACTACTCTATTTATGTCCAAAAGGCTGGTTGAATAATTAATTGGTTCTCAGGTCATCTCGATAATCGATATATTAAATCTCAAACGTGCAACAACAGTCAAATGACCGGATATGATAATCCCATAGGGTAGTGAGTTTCACAACGGTAAAATGGATAGTTAAAAAAGAATTTTATTAATTTTTTTATTAATTACATTTTGGAAATTTAGAGGTCGTTTGGTTTTGGTGATAGTTAAATAAATGCATTGTTATTAATGCATGCATAATAATATATATGTATATAAGAAAATTGATGTATTGTAGTTTACATTATTTGTTTTCTGTGATAGTTATTCTAGTATTTAAATAAGATATATTGTTTTTTGGGTGAAATGTCACTTTTACCCTTTATTTTTAATATAAAAAAGCAAAATACATCAAAAGTTAGGGACATAGTTGGAAGTACAAAACACTCCAACAATCTCAAACAAACAATCTCACAAAATACTTGAGATATTACTATCACTCATTTTGAGTGATAGTTTCCATCACATCAGGCAAACAATGCATGTATAGTTTGTGCAGAAAATTCAAAAAAACAATGCATTGTGAACAATGCATGCATTGTAACTATCCCAACCAAACAATCACCAAAACCAAACGACCCCTTAAAACCATATTGAATACATTATTTTATTTTGAAATTTAAATCCTACCACAAATACATTTCTCTCTTTTTCTTTTCTAGAAGCCACTTCACTACGACCGACAGACTTTCTCGGCTAAAATCTTTCAATCATACTCGCTCGACCACATGCAAAAAAGTACCAATCCGTTAGTACACTAGTGGTAGTGATCTTCGTCTAGTGGTACGCTACCACTACTAACTGGTAATGCTACGTTACCACTACTCAGTGGTAGTGGTACGCTACCACAAGACGAAAATCACCACCACCTGAGACTAATAAAAAACACAAGATCTGAAATCTGGAAAAAAGGGGGGGATGAGGAAAGGGGGAGGCAGGGGAGAGGCGGTGACCTCGCGACGGCTGCGGTGGTGGGAAGCGAAGGACGCAACATGGGGCGAAGGGCTGCGGGAGGGCTGCGACGGAGAGAGGCTATGATGGTGGTGGCGCCGACGACAGGGGGCGGTAGCGGCAACGGGGGATGGGAGGAAGAAGAAGAAGAAGAGGAAGAAGAATGGAGAACTGGTGGCGGTGGTGACAGAGAGAGAGAGGGGATGATCTTATTAGAGTTTTTAGAGAGAGTGAAAGGATATGGAAATTAATAGGGGTAGTAATCCTATTTGGTAAAAATTTTCATTCAAAAAATACAATTCATTTAATCTTAACCATCTATTTGAAAAATACAGAAGGGAGAACGTATTCAGTGGGTTATGAATCTCACAATCCCCTTAGTGGGAAGTGACGGTATCTAACTGTTATAAACGCGCTGCTACGGATCGGGAAATCGCCGGAATTGACAAAGCAAGAATACGAAAGCGAGAATTGAAACCACGACACACGATTTACGTGGTTCACTAACACGATGTGTGTTAGCTACGTCCACGGGCGAGAGAGAGCCGATTTCACTATATCAAGGAGATTACAAATTACAGAGGAGTATGAGAAGTATTTATAGCACTTCTCCATGTGGGTCTAAACCTAATCCAATCTGACAAAGGAAACGGTTACAAACCAGGTCCAGAACTCGAACCCAAATAACATTGAGCCCATACACCGTGGGCCGGGGGCGTTGCCCCCGCACCCCCACCTGGGCGTTGCCCCTGGACCCCACTCGCTGACCGATCAGCGAGACCCCCGGTTACCAGTCGTAGCGGCTGATAATCTGATTCAAGTCATATCAACACTAACCCCTTTATAGCATTGATCACAGACCCATTTAATCCTTTCCCTTTTACATTTTACACCATGAAATCCCATGTTTTGCCACATTTTAAGCTAAATAGTGCTTGTTTCTTATATTTCATGGCCTACTCGTATTTTGAATCGACAATCGGTAGCAATTGAGAAAGGATTTGGAGCTTCAACAAGGAAGAGATGTAGAATTCATTGCTTGATACACGAACGTGAATTTCCTATTGCATGTCATGAATTCCCCCATCAAATCGGACAAATTTTTTTTCAATTCACGACCTAAACCTCAAAATTCACAACCCTGAATTAAAACATGAGTCGGGATTCGGAAACTCGGGATTAAGAGGAGATCCTCATTTTTGCAAAAGGAGGTCATCCTAGCGAGTCATTCTTGAGTGCAAAACAGAGTTTTCGACACCCCTAGTTAAAGAGTCATATGAAGCAAATCGAGCTGAGAACCATCGCACTTGTCAAAGAAAGAGCTTGTTCCCAACTAGCTGAACCATGAATAAACGGACCTTGGAGTCAGAATGGCCAGAATAGTATCAGTTGCAATTTGCAAAGACCATAGCTTTGTACTCATTTGCCTCCCTACCTACCTCTATTAATGGCTGTCATATCACAAATTTATTTTCCTTCAGGCATCATACCGAGCAACTTACCTTCCGGTAGGTAAAAAATGTCAAGGTTTTCGAATCCAAAGCTTGTCTGCATGTTGAATTTGTTTATTATCCTAATTCCTAATCTAACTATAAGTGATTTCCTCTGCCACCACGCAACACCTACCTTTGCTATTGTATCCAAATAATGTGGACCATCCCCTGTATATTCTAAAATCTAACCAAGTCTTCCCAACTTAATGAAAATGAATTAATGGCGGCAACCGGTTCTTGGCACAACCACCGCCGAGCGAAAATACTCTGTTTTTCCTTCACAAATTTTGTCGCTGTGCTCGTTGTAGCTGCCTTTGGTCTTCGTCTTGACTCTTGACTGTTGATCCTTTTAAGAAGTTACTACATTTACACCTCTCATTTTACGATAAGGGAAACATATGCAAAACCTCTCAGCAAACCAAACCAGCATACCCATTTCCCGAACTCAAAGATGCTGCAATTCATCATCTATGGCTTCCTTCTCCTCTGCTTCCTAATCCACCTGATAAAACTATCCCGTCGTCGAAATCCCACCACCGAGCACACAAAAAAGCTACTACCCCCTTCCCCTCCCACGCTCCCGGTCCTCGGGAACCTCCACCAGCTCGGTTTATACGCTCACCGCTCCCTCCAGCTCCTCGCTCGCCGCCATGGCCCCCTAATGCACCTCCAATTCGGCCAGGTACCAGTCCTAGTCGCCTCCTCCGCCGCCGCGGCCAGAGAGATCATGAAGACCAACGATCTCATCTTCTCAGGCAGGGTGGCATCCCCAGTCGCCGCCAAGCTTCTCTACGATTACGAGGACATCGCCACGGCTCCCTACGGCGAGGGTTGGAGGCAGAGGAGGAGCATTTGCGTTCTCCATTTGCTCAGTAATCGGAGGGTTCAGTCGTTTCAGAGAGTGAGAGAGGAAGAAACGGCAATCCTGATGAAGAAAATGAAAGAGCAGCGGGTTGTGAATTTGAGCGAGAGCTTTGCCACTCTGACGAACGATATCGTGAGCAGGGCGACTCTGGGGAGGAAGTACAGCGAACAGGGGAGCCATGGGGGGCAGAAGAAGAATTTCAACGAGCTGCTGTTGGAGTTCATGGAGCTTTTGGGGAGTTTCAATGTTGGCGACTTCATCCCTTTGCTGAGTTGGATCAATATATTTACAGGCTTCAATTCCAGAGTCGGTATCATTTCCAAGGAATTCGATGACTTTCTTGAGGGGGTAGTTGATGAACATGCCAGCAAGCTGGAAAACAGAGCAGATAGGGAGACGGAGGAAGAAGAAGCAGAGGATTTGGTGGATATATTGCTGAAGCTCCAGAGAGATAACGCGCTTGGATTCCCCCTTACTCGAAAGAACGTCAAAGCCATAGTCTTGGTAAGTAACAATCTCAATTCAATTCATATAATAAATCTCTCTCCTTTACTCTGTCGCTAGTTGCTCTGTTTTCTGGTCTTCCCCTGTTTCTATTAGAAAAGCAAAATCTCTAATAAATCCCGTTTTTGTTTTAAGCAGAACATGTTTGCTGCGGGGACGGATACAAGCTACACAGTCTTAGAATGGGCGATGACGGAGCTGCTCCGGAACCCAAGAGTGATGGAGCGATTACAAGTCGAGGTGAGGCGAGTTGGGCAGGGGAGAGCAGAGATCAAACAGAGCGATCTGGACGAAATGGTGTATCTCAAGGCAGTGATCAAAGAGACGCTGCGAATGTATCCACCGATCCCACTCTTGGTTCCTCGAAAATCTTCTCAGAGCGTGGAGATCGAAGGCTACCACGTTCCTGCCGGAACGATGACGATAGTGAATGCGTGGGCGATCGGGAGGGATCCGGGGATTTGGGAACACCCAGAGGAGTTCAAGCCAGAGAGGTTTTTAAATGATGGTTGTAAGGTGGATTTTCGGGGGCAGGATTTCGAGCTGATTCCGTTCGGTGCTGGAAGGAGAGGGTGTCCTGGGATTTCGTTCGCCATGGCGACGAATGAATTGGTGCTGGCGAATGTGGTTTATGGGTTTGATTGGAGTTTGCCGGAAGGAATGAGAGTGGAGGAACTGGACATGGGTGAATGTCCAGGGCTCACTATTCATAAGAAGGTTAAATTGATTGCTGTTTGTACGCCGCGTGAACTTCCAGCTTAGATTGTATTGTTTTTTGTTATTTGGCTTCCTCGTTCTTAGATATATAGTTTTGTATTGTTATTGGTTTTCGTTTGGTAGATTTTTTGGTTTTATTTTATGCTTGGCTTGGCATGGCAGAAGTTATATGGCATGAGTCATGACTCATAATTTACTTTTCTTGTTTTTGTCAGTATCTAGATATTGTTAGGGCTGGAAGTTTGGTACCGGTATTTGGGATATACCGAATACCGTACCGAATTTGTCTATATTTGGTATTACCGAATACATGTATTATTTTTTGGGATTGAGATTGGGATTGAATTTCAATTGTTATTCGGTATTAGGGATTACGGGATTGGGATCGGGATATACCGAACTACCGATCAATACCGAAATATAAGCTAGTTTGTATTTTATCCTCTCAACTAGACTCTATCATTTACTACTAAATGACCCTCAACCACCAAAAGTGTCATTTAATTATACACAGATCATTCCATCATTATTAATAGTCGTCTCTCAACCTCTAATTCGTCAAATTAAAGATTATCAATAACAAGAACTTGAGATGTCTCCTCTCCTCCACTCTCCATAATAATATCCTAATTCAAAACTCTTTGCTTAGTCTTTTTCCCGTAAATTAAACAATAAAATCTATTTTATATATTTAATTATTAATTGCAAAGGTAATTAATTTCGTATTTGATAATACCGATTGGGATACCGAGGTACCGATTGGGATACCGAAATATTTAGGGATTGGGATTGGGATACCAAAATTATTTAGGGATTGGGATTGGGATTGACTTTAGGGTGTAATTCGGTATTCGGGATTTCGGTATTTGGTATTGGGATACCGATACCGTACCGATTTCCACCCCTAGTCATATTGTGGTTGTTGGAGATTTAGGAATTACTCGACAAATTAGCAAGAATTCTAGAGCACGAAAAGTAAGTGATAGGCTACTTAAAGTTGCAAAATTCATTTGTTTAGCCATAATTTTCACTAGGGTGGCAGATTCATTTTCGGTTAGCGGCTAACCGGTTGGTTTAACCAAAAATTTCTGGTTAGCGGTTAATCGAAAACCGACTGTATGTAATGTCGGTCGGTTGGCGGACAGAGATAGGAGTTGTTTGGTTAGCCGAGTAACCGAAGACGGTTAACCGATACTAACCGACCTCCGCCGAGATATGCCCAAGACGACGTCGTTTTTCCTATTAAAAAAATCTAATTGATTTTGAAACCCTAATTGTAACACCCTAGACCGGCCGGTCACATAAATTTACCGAAATGTCCTTGATAACCATAAAAGGTTCAATATGAAAAGTTCGGAAGAAATATCACATCAATCAAATCCAAATTCAAAAGGGAAACACATTCTTAATCAGCAAAAGCGAACATCCGTCTCAAGTCCACTAACGAACAATGCATAAACTTTAAAAGTTCTTCATGAAACTTCCATAGCCACTAACCCCTCTGATGACATCCTGAACAGCAACTGTGCACCTGTGGGTGGTCTACAAGCTCCTGGTTTCTAGCAGCTCCTGAATGCGGGCGTTGGGGTCAGTCCTAATCCTAATTCCATTCTTTACATAATATGAAAATGAAGCAAAATGCAAATGGTTGCAAATGTTCATGCATAAAATATTTACTGGACTTGTAAATGATTTTTCTTGAAACAGACATTCTTTACGAAAAGGGGGCCCCGAACTCAACTTAACTAGCACGCCACCACGATCACCGAAATACTTAAACATGATCGTATTACCCAGGAGTAGGGTTCGTGACCTCCTTATTACCCAGGAGTAGGGTTCGTAACCTCCTTATTACCCAGGAGTAGGGTTCGTAACCTCCTTAATCATAACATGAGGTGACCGTGTGCGGCTAGCTAAGTGAGGTTTAAAACATGATCTTGCTTGCTTATAAACTTGAACATGAATCTCATAAACGCATAACTCGACACATAAATATCGTATAAGGCATTCCGATTAACTCGAATAACATGCGCAATAAATAATTCTGAATGGAATACTAACTAGCCCCCTTAAACCACGCACCTTATTAACTCAAAACGCTTACAACGTGAAGATTGGTGTCCTTTGCTTGGGTGATTCACCTCTTGATCCTATGGCGAAAACCAAAGTTAGATCGGTTTGGTTTCGAGTTCTTAGTGACGGTACTTGATCGGTGGGGCTACTTGCGATATTTGCATAGTATGGCTAATTAACGTACCAATTAAAATACTAAAATCATATTGCTACATAAGTCTAATAGTTCAAGATCTTAGCCAATTTAAATACTTGAAAAACAATCATGCTAAGCTCACTTACCTAGTCGGATTCAAGAAGCGCATATTATAACACATATTACTCTAATGAATAACCAGTTAATTTACCCAATTAACTAACTTAGATTAATCTAACTTGCTAATATCATTTTCTGGTTTAAATTGTCCCAATATCACACCCGTTAAACTAATATTTTGTAACTAATACTTAAATCATCTTAATCTATTAAGTTGCTTAAAAACCTCTTATCATATTATGGTCTTTATATTATTGGATAAAATAATTGATTAACTCAACTAAACCATTTTATCTAATTATAGTTATTATTTAATATCTTAGTCCAATCACTACTAAGATACCTATTTAATTAACGACTAAATAAATATACATAATTCATTCTTATTAACCTACAGCTCTTTTAGTGACGGGTATTGAGTCTGTCACGAATTACCCATGCTATCCGTCTCAAAAGGTCTGGTATTTCTACTCACTGACTAGCCTTTAGCGACGACCACATAACCGTTGCTAAAGACCTGGAATTCCGTCGCTAAATTCCCAGATTCCTACAAAGTCGAATAACTCACCAAAAATGGTGCTTTTAGCACGAGGGGTTGAGCTTCCTTACCTCTAATACGAGTCTAGGCCTAGGTAGGAAGCCTTAGGACCTCAATTCCTTGTTTGAATCGTCGTTTGGTCACCCCGCTCTTTCGCCGCCGAAGCTACGCCGTAGAAAGATCATTTGCTTGTTAGTTATGAAGCCTTGAAGCTTGAATGGAGAGGGGATTCGTTTTGCTTACCTACTGGTCGAGAGAGAATGGGAGATGCGAAGTCAGTAGCTATGGGTCGCACCTTCCTCCTCCGGTGATGACGATGATGGCGACGATGAGAGGTTGGCGGATGGAAAGGAGTGAGCTTGATGATGATGGGAATAAGTGTTGATCTGGAGGGTTAGTAGTGGTAGGAAATACAGAGAGTGAGATGGATGGCTTGATTTATGGGGGAAGATTGGTTGTCAGTTTATGGAAAATGGGGAAGGATTGGGGACATGGAGGGAGCACCGACACCATCTCCAGCTCACCATGGCCCTCCTAATTAAAGTTCCAACTCCTCATTTCGGATGCATGAATGGAGTTATTACATTTCCTCCCCCGTTATAAAAAATTTCGTCCCCGAAATTGAGAAACTGAGTGCATAAGAAGTTCATGATTCTTCACTTTTATTACCGATCATATCTTATTACCGCCAACAAATCATAATCAAATTGTACCGATTACAAAGGTATGTCAAGAAACAACTCAGGATAGTTCTTCCTCATGTCCTCCTCGATCTCCCAAGTGGCTGCTTCTGTGCCTTGGTTCCTCCACACCACCTTCACCATTGGAACCTTCTTCCTTCGTAGCTCCTTATCTTGGCGGTCGATGATCCCGACTGGTATCTCATTATAGGTCATGTCACTATCCAGTTGAATATCTTCTAACTCCACGATGTGGGTTGGGTCGGATCGGTACCCTTTGAGCATGTTGACATGGAATACATTGTGGATCTTGGATAGATTTGGAGGTAATGCGAGCCTATACGCCAGAGGGCCTACCCGCTCCAATACTTCATATGGTCCAATGTATCTTGGACTCAACTTGCCCTTCTTTCCAAATCTCATAACCCCTTTCCATGGAGAAACCTTCAAGAATACCTTATCTCCCACTTCATGAGTCCTCTCCTCTCCTGGCTTGTCTGCATAGCTCTTTTGACGATTCTGAGCAGGTTTAATGTTTTCTCGTGTTTGCTTAACCTTGTCGACTGTGTCTTGTACTAGTTGTGGGCCCTCAATCTGACTTAATCCTTCCTTGTCCCAATATAGGGGAGATTTGCACTGCCTCATATGGTGCCGCCTTTGGGGAGCTGTGGTATTGATTATTATAAGCAAACTCCATCAGAGGGAGATACTTGTCCCACGATCCCCTCATCTGTAATGTACAAGCCCTCAATAAATCCTCCAACGTTTATATCGTCCTCTCTGTTTTTCCATGAGTCTGAGGATGATAGGCAGTTGAGAAATGAAGTTTGGTGCCCAAAGCCTTGTGAAGGCTCTTCCAGAACTGGCCAGTGAAACTAGGATCTCGGTCTGATACTATGGTTAGAGGAATTCCATATAGTCGTACCACCTATTGTATATACAAGTCTGCTAACGCATCCACCCCCGGCTTGAACTTGATGGGGATGAAGTGTGCTGACTTAGTGAGACGATCTATAATTACCCAAACTCAATCATTATCCCACTCCGTCCTTGGTAGCCCGTAGACAAAATCCATGGTGATGTGTTCCCACTTCCACTCTGGTATCTCAAGTGGCTTTAGCTTCCCTGCTGGAGCTTGGTGCCCTGCTTTCACCATTTGACAGACTAAACACTTGTGCACAAACTCAGCTGCCTCCTTCTTCATATTGGGCCACCAAAAATGTTCTTGCAGAGTCCGGTACATCTTGGTCGATCCTGGGTGCATGGCATAAGGTGCACAATGAGCTTCATCCAGGATCTCTTGCCTTAAATTCTCCATGTTAGGTACACAAGCTCTACCCTGGAAGAGTAACATCCCATCTATGATTTCAAACTTAGTATCCTTCCCATCTTGTACCTCTTGAATAAACTTGGCCAAAACTGGATCATCCTTTTGCTTCTCCTTAATTCGATCATGCAATAGTGGTCTAATCTTCAAATTAGCCATCATGCTAGTAGCGCCCTCCAGTTTTAGTTCCACATTCATAGCCCTGAGTGCCACAAGCTCAGTTATTGGACCGTGCTCCTTCCTGCTTAGTGCATCGGCCACCACATTAGCTTTCCCAGGGTGGTACTCAATGGTACAGTCATAATCACCCAACAACTCCACCCATCTTCTTTGTCTCATATTCAACTCTTTTTGATCCGTGAGATGTTTCAAACTCTTGTGATCCGTGAAGATCTTGAAAGTCTCACCATAAAGATAGTGTCTCCATAGTTTTAGAGCAAACACGACTGCAGCTAACTCTAGATCATGGGTTGGGTAGTTCACCTCGTGTGGTCGTAATTGCCTCGAGGCATAAGCGATCACCTTCTTATTTTGCATAAGAACACACCCCAACCCTTTGTATGATGCATCACTATAAATGGCATACTCTCCCTCGCTTGATGGTAGCGTGAGTACTGGTGCAGTAGTAAGCTTTCTCTTCAGCTCCTCAAATGCTTCCTGACATTCCTTACTCCAGTCGTAAGTCATTCCCTTGCGCAGTAGTTGGGTCAGAGGTCTAGCAATGCGAGAGAAACCCTCAACAAACCTTCTATAGTACCCAGCCATGCCAAGAAAACTTCTCAATTCTGGAACATTTTTCGGAGGTGCCCAATTAACCACTGCCTCAATTTTCTTTGGGTCTACTTCAACTCCTCTTCCAGAAACCACGTGGCCCAAAAATAATACTTCTTTTAGCCAGAATTCACACTTAGAGAACTTTGCATAGAGTTTCTTTTCCCTCAGTATCTCTAATGTGATCTTCAAGTGTTCTTTGTGCTCCTCGTAGCTCTTCGAGTAGATGAGAATGTCATCAATAAATACAATGACAAACTTATCCAAGTACTCATGGAATATGTTGTTCATTAGTGCCATGAATGCTGCCGGTGCATTGGTCAACCCAAAAGGCATTACCAAGAATTCGTAGTGGCCGTATCGAGTACGGAAGGCTGTCTTTGGGATAGAGGATTCAGCCACCCGCAACTGGTGGTAACCTGACCTTAGATCAATCTTAGAGAACACAGAGGCACCCTGAAGTTGATCAAACAAGTCGTCTATCCTGGGTAATGGATATCGGTTCTTCACCGTTGCCTTATTTAGCCTCCTGTAGTCGATACACATCCGCATACTGCCATCCTTCTTTTTGACAAATAGCACTGGGGCTCCCCATGGAGAGATACTAGGGCGAATGAAACCTTTGTCCAGTAGTTCTTGCAATTGCTCCTTCAACTCCTTCAGCTCTACTGGCGCCATTCGGTATGGCGGTATCGAAATTGGTGCAGTACCCGGTACAATTTCAATGTCAAACTCGATCTCTCTCCTTGGGGGTAAACCAGGGAGATCTTCTGGAAACACATCTGGGAACTCCTTGACAATGTCCACCTCTTCGAGCTTCACTTCTGTTGTGGTAGTAACATGAGCCAAATAAGCTTCACACCCATCTTGAATCAGTGCGAATGCTGTGGTTGCAGATATCAAACTTCCTGGAATGGCCCTACGTATCCCCTTGAAAACAGCCATTCCTCTTCCTTCCAAGTCAAATCGAACCTCCTTGTTGAAACAATCCACTATCGCTCTGTGCTTGGATAGCCAATCCATTCCCAAGATAATATCGAATTCATTAAAAGGAAGTAACATAAGGTTTGCCTCCAGTTCATACCCAGCGACTTCCACTATGCACTCTCTGACTATGGAATCAACTATCGACGTATCACCCACGGGTGTACGCACCCCCATGTTTTGATTGAGGTGCACATGTACCATCCCTAAGGTTCTAGCAAAAGCAGTAGATACAAAGGAATGCGTAGACCCAGGATCTATCAAGGCAAAAGCAGGACGGTTATGAATATTAACCATACCAGTCACAACCTCAGGGGCTGCGTTAGCTTCTTCTCTCCCCATAGCAAAGAGTCTGGGTTGCCCGCTAGCTTTGGACATTTGACTCTGGTCGCGATGATTGTTGTGGGTGTTGCTGATGGTGGTTGCTCTATCATTGAATCTCCCGCCTGATTGCATCCTTCCTCCACCAATCGAAGGCTCAGATAACGCCATAGTATGTCCCGTGAATCGTGGGCAATTGGCCTTTTTATGCCCCGGCTGACCACAGCCAAAGCAGAGGCCTAGCTTGAACCTGCACACCCCCGAATGATGTTTCTCACAAAATTTACAGAGCGGGTACTGTGTGGGTGCACTCCTGTTAGAGCCTGCCATGCTATGGGAAGGCAGATGGATGGTAGAACCAGGTCCTCTCTTAGAAGGGTGAGTTGAGAGAGTCTGGCTACCCGAGTAAGTGGACTCTTTCCTCTTCCGGACGTCGAATCTAGCAGTCCTCTCTTCCTGAGCCATCTTCTCATCCTTCTCGATGCGAAGGGCAGCCCGATAAGCTATGGGTTGAGAAACCCTCTCCGCTTCTCCCATACATTTCTTAATTTCTGCTTTCAAGCCTCGAATATAGCGATCTCGCATCCCTATCGCTGTTCGGTATGCGGGATCAGCATATTTGCACAACTTCTTAAATTGCTCCGTGTATTCAGCAACAGTCTGCCCCCACTCCTGCTTCAATTTCATGAACTCTTCTCTCTTGTCATCTCGAATGGAGTCGGGGATATACTCATCAAGAAACATCTTTATGAATCTATTCCAGGTGATTGCTAGAGGTACTTCTTCACTTTCTGGTTGGAGGTGCCACCAATCTCTTGCTGTCCCCTGGAGTACGTGTACCGTCATGGCAATCCTATCCTCATCATTGTCAATACGAAGCTCATCCAGGGTTCGGGTGAGCTTCAAAAGCCACGCATCAACCACCTCGGGGTCAGTAGATCCCTCAAAGTCAACGACTCCCATTTTCCTTAGTGCAACATAATTTGGAGGAGGGCGTCGACCACCACCTTGCGCAGCGCCTCCCATATTCATACTCCTACATGAGGGCAATGACTTGCATCAGAACCTTGAAGACATCGTACTTATTAGTAGACGAGACTGGATGTTCTAAAACAATTTTGGTTTTCATGAAAACTTGGTTAAAAAGTTTCTAAAATATTCCGAGCTTGAAAAACACATGGAGACCGACTTCCCAGTATCTCACTTAAAAGTGAAGACAAAGGGAAACCGGCTCTGATACCAAAATGTAACACCCTAGACCGGCCGGTCACATAAATTTACCGAAATGTCCTTGATAACCATAAAAGGTTCAATATGAAAAGTTCGGAAGAAATATCACATCAATCAAATCCAAATTCAAAAGGGAAACACATTCTTAATCAGCAAAAGCGAACATCCGTCTCAAGTCCACTAACGAACAATGCATAAACTTTAAAAGTTCTTCATGAAACTTCCATAGCCACTAACCCCTCTGATGACATCCTGAACAGCAACTGTGCACCTGTGGGTGGTCTACAAGCTCCTGGTTTCTAGCAGCTCCTGAATGCGGGCGTTGGGGTCAGTCCTAATCCTAATTCCATTCTTTACATAATATGAAAATGAAGCAAAATGCAAATGGTTGCAAATGTTCATGCATAAAATATTTACTGGACTTGTAAATGATTTTTCTTGAAACAGACATTCTTTACGAAAAGGGGGCCCCGAACTCAACTTAACTAGCACGCCACCACGATCACCGAAATACTTAAACATGATCGTATTACCCAGGAGTAGGGTTCGTGACCTCCTTATTACCCAGGAGTAGGGTTCGTAACCTCCTTATTACCCAGGAGTAGGGTTCGTAACCTCCTTAATCATAACATGAGGTGACCGTGTGCGGCTAGCTAAGTGAGGTTTAAAACATGATCTTGCTTGCTTATAAACTTGAACATGAATCTCATAAACGCATAACTCGACACATAAATATCGTATAAGGCATTCCGATTAACTCGAATAACATGCGCAATAAATAATTCTGAATGGAATACTAACTAGCCCCCTTAAACCACGCACCTTATTAACTCAAAACGCTTACAACGTGAAGATTGGTGTCCTTTGCTTGGGTGATTCACCTCTTGATCCTATGGCGAAAACCAAAGTTAGATCGGTTTGGTTTCGAGTTCTTAGTGACGGTACTTGATCGGTGGGGCTACTTGCGATATTTGCATAGTATGGCTAATTAACGTACCAATTAAAATACTAAAATCATATTGCTACATAAGTCTAATAGTTCAAGATCTTAGCCAATTTAAATACTTGAAAAACAATCATGCTAAGCTCACTTACCTAGTCGGATTCAAGAAGCGCATATTATAACACATATTACTCTAATGAATAACCAGTTAATTTACCCAATTAACTAACTTAGATTAATCTAACTTGCTAATATCATTTTCTGGTTTAAATTGTCCCAATATCACACCCGTTAAACTAATATTTTGTAACTAATACTTAAATCATCTTAATCTATTAAGTTGCTTAAAAACCTCTTATCATATTATGGTCTTTATATTATTGGATAAAATAATTGATTAACTCAACTAAACCATTTTATCTAATTATAGTTATTATTTAATATCTTAGTCCAATCACTACTAAGATACCTATTTAATTAACGACTAAATAAATATACATAATTCATTCTTATTAACCTACAGCTCTTTTAGTGACGGGTATTGAGTCTGTCACGAATTACCCATGCTATCCGTCTCAAAAGGTCTGGTATTTCTACTCACTGACTGGCCTTTAGCGACGACCACATAACCGTTGCTAAAGACCTGGAATTCCGTCGCTAAATTCCCAGATTCCTACAAAGTCGAATAACTCACCAAAAATGGTGCTTTTAGCACGAGGGGTTGAGCTTCCTTACCTCTAATACGAGTCTAGGCCTAGGTAGGAAGCCTTAGGACCTCAATTCCTTGTTTGAATCGTCGTTTGGTCACCCCGCTCTTTCGCCGCCGAAGCTACGCCGTAGAAAGATCATTTGCTTGTTAGTTATGAAGCCTTGAAGCTTGAATGGAGAGGGGATTCGTTTTGCTTACCTACTGGTCGAGAGAGAATGGGAGATGCGAAGTCAGTAGCTATGGGTCGCACCTTCCTCCTCCGGTGATGACGATGATGGCGACGATGAGAGGTTGGCGGATGGAAAGGAGTGAGCTTGATGATGATGGGAATAAGTGTTGATCTGGAGGGTTAGTAGTGGTAGGAAATACAGAGAGTGAGATGGATGGCTTGATTTATGGGGGAAGATTGGTTGTCAGTTTATGGAAAATGGGGAAGGATTGGGGACATGGAGGGAGCACCGACACCATCTCCAGCTCACCATGGCCCTCCTAATTAAAGTTCCAACTCCTCATTTCGGATGCATGAATGGAGTTATTACACTAATCACCCATCACTCTCCCTCATTTCCGCCACCTCCACCATCCAAATTGTTTTCCCTATTAAAAAAAAAAACCTAATTAAATTTAAAACCCTAATCACTCGTTACTCTCCCTCATCCCTCCCTCATATCCGCCGCCTCCACCTCCCTGCTTAAGCCCAAACCAAAACCCTTTGCCTCCTTCTTCCCTCGTCTTCCGCCTCCTCCACCCTTCTCCTTGGCCGCCCTCCGTCTCTCCTCCCCAACGGCCGAACCCGGGCCTCCACGACCGGCGACGAACAAGTCCGTCTCCCCTCACCGACCCAGACCCTCCATTCGTCCCCTTCATCTTCTTCGCCAATCACCTGCCCCGAACAACGACAGAGAGGCAAAGGAAAAACGAAAGGAGGTAGGCCCCCGCCACCGCCAGTCACCCCCGCGACCTCTGCTCCGTCGGCCCACTGTTCGCCCCCTCCCTCTTCGTTTCCTTGCCGGCTGCCGCAAGATTTCAGTTGCATGGCTAACTTAGTAAAAAAGCCGAAAACCGACGGTCGGTGGTCGGTTAGCCGTGTGCTCCAGGTTGGTCGGTTGTCGGATGCAATTGGGAGGTGGTCGGCTAGCCGATAACCAAATTTTCGATTTTTAGTTAAACCGAAACCCATCGACATCCACCCCTAATTTTCACTTTTGTGATAATAATAGTTATTTTTAGCAAAATATAAAAAATAGCCAGAATTTTGAAAGTTCTATGACAAATATAGCCATTTTCGTTACATACTTTAACGACGTCAGTGACACCGTTAGTCAAATTAATGGAACGCTTATTTGGCTGCCAACTCATCGGACACATCATCGACAACTCAACAACACTTGCCACATGAATGTCATGTCATATTTTAATTTTAAAAATAAATAAAAAATCATAAATTATTTTCTCATCCTCTCTCCTCTCCCACCACTCGATGCTGTCGTCCTCTCTCCTCTCACACAATCGTCGGCGTCTTCTGCAGCTCCTCCCGCTGTCATCTCCTTACAACAACCCAGCGGAAAGAAAAGCAAGCATCCAACACCCGCTATAAAAAAAAAAAAAATTCCCCCCGTAACCCTAGCGTTCCCTATATGCTACCAAAGCTCCCAAATTAGTAGATCTGCTATGTTCTTCCTCATGACTGAAACTTAGGGGAGTTGTCCCCAAATCAATAGATCTCTGTCTGGAGAATCATTGACCAGTGGGTTTAGTAGTCGAAAACCTCCTTCTCCTTCTTTTCTCCTCCCTCCAAGATACAGGCGGAGACAGATTGACGAGGCCCGAGACAGCAACGATGATGATACTCCAACGCACGGCGAAGATCTGGGTGCGATGGCAGAGGGGCGGATCAATGGCGGCCATTAGTGGGAGACGATGGCGAGCATCGTAGCGGGGGAAGATCGATTCGGCGGATTTGACTGGTTGGAGAAAACGATCCAAATGTGAGGGTGTCTAACGGGTCTCGATTTGAAGGGGAAGGAAGAAGATGACGATTTGGGGAACGAGAAGGGTGGTTCACGGGTTTTCTTTGATCCGCGGAGTTTGGGGACGGGAAGGGGAAGGAAGAAGATGATTAGTGAAAGGGAGATATCGTTGGGGAAGGGAAGGGGAAGGAAGAGAGATGGAGAGAAAAAATAAAAAATTATTTTTATTATTATGTTCCACATCGTATTTTTATTATTCTTTTTTTATTTTTTTAATTTAAATCCAAGTGGGAAACACATACGGAACAAAAATGCCAGATCGGACGATCTGTTAGTCCAGTAAGCCTGTAACTCATACCATCAAAGAATTGGACGGACATGGCTATTTTTGCTATTTTGGCCAAACCGTCAAAGTTTTGGCTACACAGGTGTATTTTTCCATTAATCTATACAATATAGTAAGCTAAATTACACATCTAGTCACTCAAATTACATAAAATTCACTTTTATCACCTAAATTACTTTTCTGTCTTATTAGCCACAATTTTATGATTCTTTTCACCGTTTGCCACCAGTTGTCAGGCTCCGTCATACTCCGCTAACGTCATTAGAGTTTTGATGACGTGGCAAACGAGAGTACTGACTGGACCATAAACTTATTGACATATCAATTAAAAAATAAATAAATATACAAAATAGGCATAGGATTCAATGAAAAAAAATTAGGCAGAGGAGTGGCCCCTTGCCTTCCCTCGTCTTCTTCACCTTCCCCGTCTTCACGCAGGAGTTGCTCTGCTGCCGGGTCCCGGATCCAACTCCACCACCGCCCTAATCCACTTTTAAGGCTTAATAAACCTCATTCAGTATGTTTTATGGATCCCCACTCTAATAAGTAGAATGAACTGGAAAAGAGGTAAGTAAATGGCCCCAAAAAGCGAATCA